AAGAGTGAGCCAAATGGGAGAAATTATGGTGTGTAAATTTATTTATTTATTAAATTGATAGACCACCCTTCATTCGAAGATCACAGCGTGGTTTACAAGACAGAAACACAAAATCAGAACACAAAATACATGGCATAATGACCAAAGGAAAAACAAAACTAACAATAACAACCATTAACCCCCCCTCCCACAAACATATTTAAAAGGTTATTTAATCAGCCAAAGACCTCGTTGAAGAGGAATGTCTTCACCTGGTGCCTAAAGATATGTACTGAAGGTGCCAGGTGAGTCTCCTTGGGGAGAGGATTCCACAAACGGGGAACTGCAGCAGAAATGCACACAGTTTGCCTGCCTATCAAATCCACAGGTGCTCTACAAAAGGTGAAGGCAGGCATGCCTGTCCCTCTACACTGGCGACACAAAATAGGCTTGCCAACTCTGCAACCAAAATGGTCTACTATATTTCCCCCGTCCCCCATATATTTTTTATTGAAGTTTCAAAATTAGAAGGGCTGGTTCACATAAGCAGGTTCATCCCATGCCAATACGACATTGTAGCTCCAGCACCGTAGACCACATCTCTTCACGTCAACCCAAAGACAAGGAATCACTTTACAGCCACAAGCCACTGTTGCCTTCTGCAAAAGAGATGTTCAGCAAGCGTACCATATGTGTACACTCATGGTGGAGCTACACAGTAATTCACATGTAATGATCAACCAGCGGACACCCTGATTAATGCTAAGCCACCTTCTGATGAGTTTATATTGCTCATCTAGTGTGACTTTATTGATCACCGTTGATTTATTATGATCAACGGAGCCAAAATAAGACCAAAGATTAAAAAACAACAAATGTTCATTGAACCACAATGACTTTATTTATTACAAATTGTTGCTGTGGCTTGTAGAAAGTAAGTTTCTTTTGCAGAAAGTTCAGAGAGGCACTTTTTGCCCAAGTACTAATTCAATATTTCTGCTCTTCAACTCCTCTGCCCATAATTATACATTGTGGATACCAATCAGCTAAGTTTGTACTTCAGAATTAAATAATGAAAGGTGACAGTGTTAACTAGAGGGAATGATAAGAAGCATTTCCAGAGGCACTCAGTGCAGGTACCCCTGTCTCATTCATGAAAAATGACTTGCTTCTCCAAACAAAAGCTTTGGATAAAAGGTTGCTGTGTTCTCTGTACAAAGGCAAAACAAATGGACAGAATAATTTTGATTTCCCTCTTTCTGAGAGCCTCAAAGAAGCAAAGACAGTAATGAAATTCATGTAGATTAATATGACAACTAGAAGTAGAACAGCCAGCAGAAAACCAAGTACAAGGAAGGATCATAAACTTGGAAATTCACTGCTGGAGGCAGGAAAAGGAAGAAAGGGATGACATCATCTCCCTGCATCACATGCCCAGCTGTGTAAAACTAGCTCCTCCTACAGGGAAGAGCTTGATGACCTCATCTCTTTGCATCTTGTTCAAATGCAAGTTTGAGTTCATTTTGTGGATAATCGAGGCATTGGTATATGCTCGGGATATTGAAGGAAATGTGTAAGAGAGTGTGAAATTTAAGTAGTTACATATTTGATCATTCATCCTTATTATTTGCATTCTTATTTCTCCTGAAGCCTCTAATATAAACCTCCTCATGCCCCACTATGGACCAAATACTTCAATTGCTTACTAGCAATCATATCTGTGTACCCCCTTAATTAGAGGTGCAAGGGGGCAGATTTCACCAGGACTACAGTGTGTGGAGAAGGGAAGTTTTTCTAGAGTTCAGTGGTATCCAGATCTGGATCCTGAGGTCTCTTTGGACAATAGTCAGGAGGAGTAGATCCCTCTGGCAGATCTCAACACTGCCTGTGACCCTGAAGAACTATTGGGCACCCTTTGCCAATGGCTGGAGGGAGAAAATTTCTTTTGGGGGTCCAACATTGAGGGTCATACCAAATTCCGCATCAGTCTGACTTTATTCAGTAATGCATTACTGGACAGAGTCCATGGAGTCTGTGACAGCGTTCCATGAGCACACATCCTATTTAGGAAAAACACATTATTTTGGCTGTTTCATCCTTCATCCAACCAACTTATGCCACCATCTGCCACCCCAGCACCTCACCATCTCTTCATCCAACCATAGTCCTTGAAAGCACTTATTCAACCCAAGTTTTCTGCTGTATGCACAAAGCCCTCTTTGCACCTTACCTGGGGCTGTCAGTGTTAGGTGACTGGTTCTTATCAGTTTTGTGTTCAGGCTGCACTCTTATGTAGTGATGCAGGCCTAAATGATCATGGGCTCTATAGAATTTCTACCTCACCTGGGTACTTGCTGGTTCTTGGAGCCCTGCCCTCAGGGCCACAGTCAACCAGGCACAATCTTCAGGGCCACACGACCAATGCTGCCTCACATGAAGCTAGCCAGGAACCTTCCTAGATCAGGGCTGGCTGAGACAAAGGAAGGAGTGGAGCGTCCAGAGACCATGTAAGGTATCTGAGCTGCATCATTGCTGAATGACTCCAAACTTCCTGGACTGGACTAATGGAAACAATAGGCTGGAGTAAGGTGGGTGGAATTTGTCTGGATTATGACTGGGGCAGTACCATCGCTCTCTTTCCCCCTCCTCCAAAATTGTGATTAAGTAAAGAAAAACACAAAGACATATTTCTGAGTTTGGTCCTGGACCAACGAATTGTTCAGCTTGAGGAACTCAACCAGAACCAGCAGTTTATAGAACCAGGTAGCATTCAGTTAGATTACTGCATTGCCTGATCCCTGCTAACTGGGCAGCTGCAATACCATCCTTCTGCTATCCGCAGTGGTGCCACTTTAGTGCGGTGGTTAGCAGCGCCCTCCTCTGGCAAGATACCACATGACACATAGAAAATGCGCCTGGGTTGGAGTTCCGTGGTGGAACTACCGGTAATACTTCATACACAAGAGGTCCCAGGATGTATCCCCAACACCTCTAGGTAGGGCTGGGAAAGGCCTCTATCTGGAACCTTAGACAACAGTTTTCAGTCAGTGTAGGTAACACTGAGCTAGCTAGACGAATGGTCCAGTTTATTATAAGACAGTGTTTTTTGTCTGTCCTGGTGCTAATATCTTTGGTTCAAGAAAAGGAAGAACTAACATATTTCCCCAACATTTCCTTTACAAAAGTGTATAATTTGCAGACGTACAGTAATGTTATCAAGCCATTTTCTTTTGCATATATTTTTAAAATTGTTGAATTTTATTTATGTCGATGTGTTTTTGTTTTTTAAGATTTTGAATTCATAGGTATTTTTGATGAATGTTTAATATTGCTTTATGTTAACTGCTTAAAGCTTTTCCTGATTAAGCAGTATCTAAATCCAGTTAAACAAACAAAACAAACAAACAAACAAACAAACAAACAAACAAACACATAATAGTGATGTTTGAAGTACAACTGTTTAGATCAGAGTACTTCATGTCCTTCAAGTAACCCAATTTCCACTTAATCTTACATAACTATTGCATTCCGCCTCCGCAACTGCAACTTCTGGCGTTTTGAGTGCCCCACAAGTTACTTGGGTAAACAAACTTCTCTACTCCATCTCCCCAATGCCATCTGGTGGAAAGTGGTGGGACTTATGATGATTCCCTGCTTATGGTTTGTAACTAACAAGTTGGGTTTTTTTTGTTTTTTGTTTTTTAAATAGTAATTTAATTGCTTGAGAAAATCAATAGATTGCCAGTGCTGCAAAAGCGGCTTCCCTGCTCATTATGTCAAAGTTGCATTCATGCTCCCCACACAATGATTTGTTGTTTTTAATATGTGCTTCTTTATATGCAAAATACTTACCAGGAATCAGTTTAGATTTCTACGAATCAAGCAGACCTCTTTGGAAAGCGACAGCAATGTATAGTTAATGTCATAATTTGCATTCAAATCTCTCTTAAACTGGGAAGGTGGAAGGGGAGATACATTACAGCAGTCTTCACTGGAGCTTTTGTTTTGCAACAATTCTGGGGGGAAACAGCAAAATGATATCCCATAAGGTGACAGTGTGTGTTTACACTACAGCAGTGATGTCCTATTCTTATTCCTAATTCTTTTAATTGCATGAACATGAACAGCACATCAGTCTCTAAAACATAGATGCGTACACACACACACACACACACACACACACACACACACACACTATAGTGTGTGTACACACAAATCTGGGAGAAATGGATTTAGCTTTGGCAATGAAGCGATAGGGAGATCAAAAGCAGTAGCTGGCATTAAAATGATTTAGATACATTTGTCAGAGGCAGCTGTTATGCTAATCTCATTTATGCAGTTGTCAGCTGATGAGCCAGCTTAGTGGGGGGAAAAATCATTATTAGATCCCCATTGTGATAAATGTTATTTATTACTGTCAAATGGTATTAATGTTTGATTCAAAGATGGGAAGTGGGCAACATGGACATGAGGTTCATCCATTCATGGCTGATGGTAACAAAAGGGAGTTGATGAATCCCAGCCAAACGAACTTCATTTCTCCAGTAAGAAAGAATAATGGATTTAATTTGCATATGTTTTAAAAGGGTAATGAAGTAATATGATGTTTATCTTGGTTGAAGAGTGGTAATTTTTGCTGGCGGGGCTCCAGCGACATCCGAGCCATTGTGCAATGTTTACTGTTCACTTGGTGTGGAAAGGAGCAGCGATTTTTTTCCCTCCCCAAAGCAGCAGGTGCACAAATGGGGCCTGGATAATTTATTCATTAGGCCAAAAAAAGAGAGAGAGAAGCCAAATGATCTGAGTATCTCCTCCTTCTCCCTATGCTCTGATTTCCTCCTTAGCAATATATGTCTCTATATGCACAAATGTTTGTACATCCTTCTCTTAAACACTGTTGTATGCCGTGGTTTTTCCATGCATTCCTTTTGGGGTGGGTCTTGACTTTTTAACTCTAGAATCAGATTTTGATTTACTGAGCCTTCCTTCTCAAAATGCACAAATGTGCAGTCCTTTGGGAAGGGCTATAGCTCAGTGGGAGAGCATCTGCTTTGTTTGCTGGAGGCCCCGGGTTCAATCCCCGATGGCACCTCCAAGCAGGGTTGGGAAAGGCTCTCTCCTTGTAAACCCTGGAGAGCTGTTTCTAGCCAGGGTAAATAGTCCTACAATAGATAGATCCATGGTCTGGCTTTGTAGAAGGCAGCTTCCTATGTTCTTGTTGCTAGAACCTGAGCTCTCTTTTGGCCTGGCAGAGAAAAGTTTATGTGCCTGCTATGTGCTTCATAATCACTTTTGTAAAAGGGCAATATTTTAACAGACAGGAGCTGTGCCTTGGGTTCGAACCGATTGCAGAATGGCCTACATCTTTCTTCGTTTCCATTGCAATCTTTCTGTATCTGTGTCTTCTACATGCCAGTTGTCTTCTCTATTCCAAAATAGCTTCAGTGGTGAAAGACCCATCTGTTCAGACTTGGTTTTCTTTGTTGAACATCTAGACACCCTCTCATTATAGTTACATAATATTCTATGCATCATGGCACTTAAACAGAAACACATAAATAACATAGCCTCCGTCTTATTTATTATTTAGAAGCATAATACACCAAGTGTGTGTGTGTGTGTGTGTGTGTGTGTGTGTGTGTGAATTCCTCACTACTTAAAAGTACGCACTCAGGCTGGCTACATTTATGTGCTGTTGCTAAGAGAGAGAAAATGTTCTCATTTTCACATGCAAAAACTGTAATGCAGTCTCCCCCAGTCTGCTGCTTTACAAATGTTGCTAAACTCCAACCCCCATCAACCATGGCCAATGGTCATGGATGATGGGAGTTGGAGTCCAACAATATCTGGAGGGCACCAAGCAGGGTGGGAGGTATCTTAACAACACAAGAAGCACCTGCTGAATCAGGCCAATGGCCCATCCAGTCCAGCACCCTGGCTCAAAGTTGCTGACCAAATGCCTGTGGAAACCCACAAGCACCTTAGGATAGAACTGCTCTGACTACGAATGAATCTGACTGCCAGGATCCACCAGCCCTCAGCCCTGATGAGACCTAATCAGTGGATGAGTGGAGGCACCAACATTCAGCGGCCCTTATCACAAAAGGGGACACTGGGGACTCGGTACCCTCTTTGTCTTCATTAGAGGCTGCTGCTTTTCCAGAAGACACTCTGCCAAGGGGAGATTTAGTGCAGGGGGCTTCACTGCCCCTTTTTGAGACTCACATCCTGCTAGCTCTGCCTTAGGCTTTAGCAGTCCAACCGCAGTGGCCAACTCTGCATTGTGTTCAATGGGCTGTGGCTATAAGCCCATTTATTGTGTTGTCTAAGTTAAATGCACCTACCTATGTTTGCATCACTAGGCCCTTACTTTCATTGCAACTTTTATTACAACTTTTATCATTTGCCATTTTGTTGCCCATGCACATTGGGGAGAGGTTAATCCTGAAGTTCTTCAATGACACATTGAGTTTCGCCATCCTGAAGAATCTGGAAACTTTGGTCTGTCACTGCTCAACCTTTATTCCAGATCATTTGTGGATAGCAGAGATGGGGGAGCCCCATGCTCCTCCATTTTGAAAACTGTCCATTTACTCTGCCATCTGCACCTCATTTTTTAGCCTAAGTGTTACCCGCCCCCGGTGGCTCTCCAGTTGTTTTTGGTCTCCAAACAAAGTCAATGTGGTGTAGTGGCTAGAGTGTTAGCCTAGGACCTGGGAGACCAGAGTTCAAATCCTGCTCAGCCATGAAGACTACTGCGTGACCTTGAGCCAGTCACTATCTTTCAGCCTCGTCTACCTCACAGGATTGATGTGAAGATAAAATAAGGAGATATATACACTACCTTGAGCTTCTTGGAGGGAAGGTGGAGCATGAATGTAATAATAAAATAAAGAATAAATAGACTGCTATCATCTCTGGCCAATGGCTGTGCTGACTAGGGCTGATTGGAGATGTGGTCCAGGAAAATCTGGTGGAGATCCCATTGGTTAACATTGCTCCCAGTAATGAAAGGGGAAGGAAATCATTGTGGGGCTGGGCCAAGGGTTCTCTTCAACTCCCATCCTGGCCTAGGAGTTAACACTAGGCTTGTTCATACATTACACTGAACACAGGTACAGGCTATATCTACGAACCCTGTGATGTGCTGGTGAAATATGGGTAATAAATATAATAGTAGTATTAGTAGTAATAATAATGATACATGCATTTGGGTGAAAGAGTTGATCTGCACAACTTCACTAGCATGTACAAAGGTACACAAACATTACATATGAATAACTGTGCAAGTGTACAGATCAAATGCATGTATCTACAGGCTCACAGATTTTATGCTTGTTGAATGTAGCATGTGAACACCCCAATCACTTTTCATTAGACTTTTAGAAATGTAACAAACAACATAGCATATAAAACACCGGAAACAAGTTCATTTTTGATCTTCCTGTTCCTCCTTTGTACCTTCCTGGCATTTAAAAATAAAAGAAGGTCTGGATCCTGATAAATTTGATGGGAGAATTTTGACCAAAGGGGGAGGAAATCATATGTATTTCCAGTCCATTTTCTTAGTCTCCCCAAGCCCAGAAGATCTTCTCCCTTATTAGAGGTAGTTTCATCTCAATTTCCCTTTGAACCAAATTGTTCTGGGCTGGCTCCATTTGTTGTGATAGAAATCACTTTGGCACGTTAGATGAGATAAGAGTGGGTCTTTGAGTCTGAGGTTTGCTTGTCAAGTGGTGTGATGTATTCCATGACGACTGTCTTCTGGGGAGTGTGGGATTGTTATGACATGTATAATATAGCAGTGGAACTGCTTTGAAGCCTTTGAAATTTATCACTCTCAAATGTTGGCATATTGAGTCACCAGCTTATCGGAGACATTGAAGAGAGCTGAAATTGTCTTCAGCTTAGTCATAACTAGGTGACTAGTAAATTCTGATAACAAGGATTATCTCTGGAAATGGGACCGAAAAGTCAATAACAGCTATGCATTTCTTTCCTTCCTCCTCTGCTGCAGAAAATGGATTGATTCCCTTTGTTATCCTGCTTTGAAACTTAGGTGCCAATGTTTCATTAGCCTTCCTTTTTAAAGCAAGCGGCTGGCATTTAGGGGGAAAAACCAACTTCCACTTAAATCGAGGGCGAGCAGCCTTTTTTCTCCTGACATCTGCATGCCAGTGCTGTGGCAGTTCTGGGCACTCAGAAGGTGCATGCCAGTGGGTGTGGCCAGTGGTGGGCATGGGGGGAGGCCATGAATACACTCATTCAACACAGACCCCCTTACAATCAACACACACTTAATGATACACACAGTGCTCACTCCAGGTTTCGGAGGGCACTTGGACAAGACACCATCCATGGGTCCCCCTCCCTTGGTCTGAATGAAGCAGTTCCTACGATGTGACCCTATGTTCCTGTGTTTCTAGTGACAGGTATATCAATACCACCTCCCTCACTACAGCAAAGTCCTATTAGGGCCTTCATTATTCTGGAAGGGGAGGGCACCAGGTGAGTTATGAGGCATGATAAGATGATTCATTTGAATTCTGGGTCTCTTCCCAAGCATGGTGCAGAGGCTGTGGTACTTAGAAATGGTGACAACTGGAAGGTGGATTAAGCTCCAATAAAAATGAAAGAAGCCACCCCACCCCCTCACCTGGTACAAAATTCTTTCCTGAGTAACCAATGATTCCATATTCTGGCATCTTAATAGCTGGCAAGGGGAGCGTTTGGGTGATATAAACATAGGAACTGAATATGAGGCAATGGAATGCTAGAAATCTGGGAAATTTTCAGAGCACGTAACTGGGTGAATCAGAGCTTTCTCAAATGGCACCCATGTTGATAAGTGTTGCCATTAGCATCTGTGATGATGATGATGATTTTTTGGGTGGGGGAAGAAATTTGGTATCTATCATGTCATATAGGAAGTAAAAGGAACATATGCAGAGCCCACTCAACAAATAAATGACCTTTACTTTGTTGTCATCAGATTGCAAAAGTTTTCATCAGCAACCTCTGTATTTTTGGAAACACATTTTTACTCATACATTTTAGAATCACGAGCATGATGTTATCAAGCTATCAGTTTTCTGGCACAAATGAAAGCTGAGTGGTGTTGCGTTGATGCTGTTGTTTTAGAATGTTGAAGTGTATTCCTGTGTTCGACTTAATGCACTAGGCTCACTTAAATATAAGCAAACATCTGGATAAGACATCTGTAAACAAGAGGATTTATTTATTTATTTTTTAAAAAGAAGCATCTAGGATATTGAAGGCATTGGTAGGCTAGAGTATTTTTGTTCTCAAACATTTTGCCTGTTCTCACCTACTTAGTCTTTTGACTTTATGACTTCTGAAGCTAGAGGCGGGGGACATTGGTCAGACCAGCTGTAGTTGGACTTCAACTCCCATCAGCCCTGACCAGCATGGCCTGATGTTCAGGGATGATGGGAGTTGTAGTTCAGCAACATCTAGAGGGCCACAGATTTCCCATCCCTGCTCAATGGAACGTCCATGATCTTACAGATAATATACATACTTCTCTGAACAAGAGAAGTTGCAGTGGAGAGCTATTGCCTTCTGTACTCTTCATGGACTTCCCATAAGCTTTTGGGAAGCTGAGTCCTGGACCAGCTGTCCTTTTGCTTTTCTGAAGGGTGATCTCAGTTGTACTGTGCAAACCACAATGTTATTGTCAGACCTTTCACTCTCCCTTTATGTCATTCATTCATTCATTGACACCAGTATATATGCCAACCAAAACCGTTTTCTGGGCAGCTTAAAAAGGAAACCTTAAAATTCAGTAATAATTACAGAACACTGTAAACAAACAAATTCCAGCATGAAAATGTCAACAGCAAGGAGGAAATCAGCATAGAAAAATAGGCAATATCACTAAAAGTATACCATTGATCTAAAAACCCATGGATTCAAAAGGCTGTCATTTAAAAGCTTGATCCGATGGGGAGATTAATATATTTATATGTTTATGAAACAAATTTATAGAACACTTCACAGCAAAAAGCCACTGGTGCAGTGTACACGGTTAAAAACAGAATGAAACACAGAAACAAGCTCTAAAAATAATAA